TTTGACATCTGTCTTTTCCCTAGAAGAAATATCCGAAATTTATTTTATCCGAAGAAAAATTATCTCGATTATAACGAAAATTTGTGTACCTTAAACACGACCAGAAATCTTCGGCCATCTTTCGATTGGACGTTAATAAGGGCGATTATCTGCGGATCAGAGGCGGCGAAACGCGTTCAATTAACGAAAACGACATCCGGAATAGAGTGACGGTGGCACAAAATCGCCGACGAGATAATCGCGTTTCCATCGAGATCTCGTTGGTTGACCGACGGCTTTAGCGACAAAAATAACATCGTTATCGACGCGAGAATTAATCGTGCTCGAAGTGGATCGCTGATGAGCTCGAGCTCGCCCCGACAGGATATTAAACGTTCCCGGAGCTATGCCCTCAGCGTTTCATTATCCTCCATCCACTGTAAAATCATACGCAGAATCGTCGCCGAAAACCCATTGATATCCGCGTTTCCACCGGCGAATCTTGCTTCTTGCCGTTGGCCAATAATTGAAAACGGAGCCAGATTCGGACGAGACCGGCTCTAAAATTGTTGTTTTCGTTCGTTGCGTAGAAACCCTGTCCCGTTACTATCGCTCGATCTCAGCAATTCAGCATGGAATTACTAGATCGAAAGTTTGCCAGTTTCCTGAACGTTGTATACGTGGATGGGAAGAAATTTGGACACGAATTTGGATCTTGCATTTCTTACGTAAAACCTGCAGATTTTCTACGAATCTTCACGACTCGACTTCAAGATTCAACTGCTATCGTCTTCGGAGAACGTTCGTAGACTGATACGCGTAAAGCGTAAAGGATAGTCGGAATTGTCCAACTATTTCTCGTTGCATCCCTTTTTTAAGGAGTCAGAGCGAATGAGAAAGATAATACTTAATTTTGAGATTTATACTTGGCGTAGCGTACCAATCCGTGTCTTAGATAAAACTTACGTTGATAACGTAAAGCGAATCGATTCGATCGAGTTGCCAACGTACGGTCCACTGATCGGAGAGGCTAGTGATTTAGTAACTGGTCCAGGTACTCCTAGCGAGCTACCTTTAAGCCACACGATAACCAGCCGTGGGATCAGCGAGGATTTCTCGGAGGCAAACGGTTCGTCAACACCGTTGTAGTTTCACGGTGACCTGATCTTGCCCACGCCGTAAATTTTTCGTTGTTCCCGCTAGCTGGCTTTATTCGACGTGATAACAAGGAACAAGTAGAAAAAAAGAACGAACTGTCTCGTTAGCGATCTCAGTATCTCTAGACCGTGTGATTAACCTTGTCATTCTTCCACGTATATATAAGAAAATTATATTTAGGTTGATATTAGTTATTTAAACATTTGGTACTTTAATATTCAATCTATATGTACTGTTGGCTATTTCATATTTTTATCAGGAACAAATTATTTCAAAAAATTTGAAAAAACTCAGCATGCACAATGACATACCATAAAACGTATATTTTAACATCGGAGTTTTCAACATTATTTTATTCAGAGCTACAAATTTTTTAATGTATTGGTGCCATTACAAAGAGAATTTCTGCCTTACTGCTATCCCATCGATTTTTCGCTTCATTTGTACTGACATTTTAAGGGTTCACTAGCTTTTTTAATTATATTTTTACAGTTTCGTATCAAACAAATAACACGTACTGGTTTCTTGTTGTTCTACTCGTATAAGTGACATGTATAACTAAAATATATTCGTACTGCAACTTGAAGAAATACGAATATGGAGAATAAGAGAAGACAACAATAGAGGTAAATGGTATCGTAGTACGCGAGCATCGTAAGACTTGCTCGATGTATATTTCTTGCAGTCACCTGAGTTAACGCCCAATTACGATAACTCCCAATTACCCTAGTATTGGTAGCTCAAACAATACATAAGTAGCATGCATTTACCAGGAGTCGGAGATTTACCAGGAGAACTGAAAAGCTGACAAGTGCACATGGGTATTGCGAAAGTCTGCATTTGGATAAACTGCTCTGTCTACAGTGTCTGCGAAAACGAATACAAAGCTGCTTTCCTCCAATTTCAAAACTACACGTTTAGTCGTGCTATTTCGTAATTAAAGAAGCTTTACTTATTTACTTCATCGTTCTATCAAAATTGTTTCGAAGTAAATATCCTATAAACGAGATACCAAAATATTCCAACATTTAGCATAGACAATATTTACGAACGTATTGTGCGTATCGTACGAAACTTTTCAAGATTCCATCGACGCTGTAATGAAAGACGATCGTCGTGTTTACATACTGAGAATATTTGAAAGGAATCTAAAAAATACAGAGGATAAGAGATATTTATTGGATCGAAATATTTGGATAGTCAATTATCTACGCGAGTGAAATTTCAGAGTATATTGTATACGCATGATACATGTTGCGAATTATCAACTAAAGAGCAACCGGCCAGGTCAAACCGATCGGTCGATATCCCGTACCTCGAATGGCTTAACGCTCAAGGTGGAGGGGGTTTAATAGATCGAGTGTTAGTGTAATTTAACACTTTATTCGCACTTGTTGTATAAAAGTAACGTTTGATGTTATGAACACGACTGTGGTAAGATCTTGTTGAGAGTGAAGTATTCACGGTACGATGTTCCGATGACGACTTAAGTATTTCACCCGCACAGTACGATGTCTGTTGATGAACTGACCTCCTATGTTACTGATTTTCTCCAACAGCCGTCGTGTCTTCCCGGCCGAGGTTTTTCCCTGACCTTTGAGTCCTTACAGCTCGGGGAGGACAGGTAATTCGGAATTTCGTAAAGAAGGGAATGGGCCGAACAAGGTATTTATAAAAAATTACTGTTAACATTCGAGTACTTTTTAAAGTAAATGTTTCGTCTTTCCAACATGTTTAGTATTCGAAATAATTCTACGAGCATAGAATCTCATTAGAATATGACGACGAGTTATTGCTCCTAATAAAGTTCCTTGATAATCAAGTGTTTTCAAAGTTGCCACCAGACACCGGGGTCGTCGAATTCGCGATAAACCTCGTTGGATCGTGTATCATTTCCACGAAGTAAGAGCTCCACTGTGACTGGAGAATTCTGCTGCAAGGAATGCTTCGTATCATTAATTGTTCCATTTCTGAACTCCAACGCCTGTCAGAGAATGGAATAGGATACCAGATACTGGAATATGGAACCGAACAATTCAAGAAATCTAAGTTTGAGGAATATATTATGTATCATATGCATAGTAGCAGAGCGAAAACTGTTAATGAACGTCAAATTAGAACCACAAGTAAGAAGCTCACTTTCCTAATTATAATACCACGTTATAATTAACACAAGGTAGCTACTGTTAATGAAATGAGTGGTCTACGCTCTAACTGTCGAATCAGAGTTACATTTAAAAATGCAATTTTTGTAATTGTAAATACTACGTTATAAATAGCGAATGTTGCTTGATGGTCAAAGTTAGGCTGTTCAAAATAATTGGAGAACCGCCAACAGGAACACCGATATTACACCAACTGAACAAATAACAATGGTTCGATAGGGCAGATGTTAGACTGACGTGTTATTTACATGATGTCGTGATAAAAATTGGTTTATGATACGATGATGAAACAAAACGTGTATAAAAATCAAGACAACACAGAAAACAATTACATAGTTGTTTTAGTTTTTTACATTAAATACGTAGACGATCGCGTATCCAGAGATACTATTTTATCAAAACAAGACTACTATCGTCCTATCGACCTATCGATCAGGTAATTTACTCACCTTGAATGCCTCTGAAAATGTCCAGAGCCTGTTCAAATTACTTAGATACTCATCTCTCGTATCCATATTTGTAGACAAAAATTCGAAATCTATGACATGGGGCACGTAAGATAACATTATACATTTTTTATTAGCTTTCTGATAATTTCAAGTTATTTATCTTATCTTGCATGAAAGCAAAAGCTATCTTAACACTTACGAACTGCGCGATGGAAGTGTAATTGCTAATTTATCGAAGGTGTTTCGCACGACGCATAATGCAATAGGAGAAAAATAACAAGAGCAACGACGCGATCTTTTGCGCCGATCTTTCGTTCTTGGCTGACGCGTTTAATTTTAGCGGTAAAACACGCAAAAAGGGACGACCGAGATGAGCAGAAGAGTTTACGCCCGCGCGGAACGCATTAGTGCAAATTGCCTTCGCTCGCCGGCATATTTAATATCAGTCGCCGCCTCTGGTCGTCTAAATGAAACGTGCGATAACATCTTTGTCGGAATTACGCGACGATCGCACAAGGTATGCACGCCTCTCTTTCTCTCAACGAAAATTACATTTCATTCGTATTCTATTCGTCTAGTATACATCTCTACATCAGTTTAAAAAGAATGCCACAGACGAACGCGCGTCGACCATACAGTTCTACCATGCAGTTTATACGGTGGCCATTTGCCTTTGTGATGAGAGGAAACATACCCTTTGAGGCAGCACGATCGAATCTAAAATCGAGTTAATCCGAGCAAACTCGACCCGGTCCAGTCCGTCCGCGTGTGTTCGCATTCTTCGTGACACGGCCCGCCCGAAAATTGAATAAACATTCGAACTGGCTGCCGCGACAAATTTCACAGCCTGGCCCACCGAGAATTTCGGATTACGTGACCGGGATACCTGTGTTCGTCTCTGGATTCTCCTTCGAAGACGATCAGACGAAGTGCCGCGAGCGTTTCCGCGCAGTCGATCGAAAATTCGCCTCTACAAGTTCGTGAAAAAGCTTCGTGCCTTCGATGATAAAGGTGTACCGTTCGAGATCGTGAAAAAAACGGCACGCCTTGTATCAGTTTCTCGAAATCAATTTCCATCGCCGTTGGAAGTTGAACGTAAGTGAAAATTGAAGCTTATAGAATATTTTGCTCGTATTTTTGAAAGAATATGAGGCAGCAGTCGTAACTTATTTCCAACTAAGCTTAACTTTTTCCAAGCTGAAAGTAAGTCATAACTGCTCCCTTCCACAAGAGAACAATTTTTTTTCAGATTTAGAATTGACGTTTTATCCTGTTGAACGAGGCTCTAAACATCATCGAAAGTTGTAAATTTCATCGATTTTATTATTGTCTCGCCATGTCGCCTTCATCTGGTATGAATATGTACTAGAAAAAATTAAATTTATAAAAATAACTTCTAAAAATAAGGATGGTTTCGACAGTGTCGCAAAATTTTTACAGTCCTGTTTACCTGAGATTTGTTCGAAAATTGAGCGCGAGGATTTTGCGAATGAGCATCGTTGATGCGACCACGAGAGAATACCAACCGCCGGAATATTCATACATTCGCCGGAAATTGCGGATAACTCGGCTTCGTTTAAGCGACGGAAAACTGCATAGCTCCGGATGGTATGTTCGCGTGTAGCGTGTTGAAATTAATATTCCAAGTACAGGATCCTGGTAAGCCTGGTTCAATGGAGGGGGAGGGGGCGGCAAGAAGATCGACGGTGGCTCAGTTTCGCTAAGAGACCGCGTGAACACGGAGCATCGTGGATCCAGAGCTTTAGAAGAACGCCGGGGTTGCGATGGCGTTTACCTCGGGTAAACAGCCCCGTTGCTGTTTAATCATTCCAGGCCTCGCAGCCCTGACAATTGCCGCGCACAATGCAACAGCGACCCGTTAACGTTTAAACGAAAGGTGACCGGACTATTCCTTCGGCACTTTGTTCAAGGAAAATATATGTTCGTTGTCTTGTCTGGAAGCGAATTGCAAGAGAGTTTAAGGAGGAGGTTGAAAAACGATTTTCTGAGAAAACTGGTTCCTGGATTTCGTTGATAGAACTCTGCAACAGTTAGAAATCTCGGGAAAACGTTTGTCCTAAGTCGACTCTACACGTTGCGAGGTTAACAGTGGAAATTTTTCTTTCTCGTTTCAAAGTTGGTACACAGCAAAGTAGAAAATTGTTTGCAGAAGATTTTCGTAAATCGATAGAAGGATATCCAGTTAACGCAAATACTAATATCTAAGTAGGTAGACGTATAAATAATGGTAAACATAGTAGCGTACGTACTAAATAGTAATTTATGTCATTGGTATATGTATTATATCGATTAATTAAAATTTATACCGCTTTCGTAATAAACTAGTTAATGCTGGTTTTAATTACTAATTCGTCATAAATTTGAACACTTCAGTCAAATTCAAATACCGTTATTACATGTTAACCAAAATGACCGCGTATTTATGAGTGATTACGTCTACGTATACGTAACGCGCAGGACCAAGTTAATTTCACGTATAATAGAAAGAAGGACGGTTTCAGCGCACAGTAGAAACGGTCAACACGCTGTCAGACACAGGACAGACGCGGTCGACTCGCGTTATATTCTTCCGTTACGAAATTTCAATTGTAATACTCGGCCAATGTACGTATGCAAGTAAGTAACGACAGGAGCAACGTATTACAACAAAGCACGAGTACTATACCAGGAGTAAAGTACACGAGCAGAAATGCTAATGTAAGCATCGCTTGTAACAGGATCTATAATATATACTTAGCTGAATGAGCATGAAGGATATGAAATATGTAGAGCGACGAGTGATACCCAACAGCACGAAAGCAGGAAGCTTTTGTAAACGCTATTTTTCGATGTAGGTAATATGTACTACACCGAAAGAAAACTAAACAAGCAAGCAAATTCTTGACCAGAGTGTTCAGATACTTATACAAACAGTAGTGTATATCGTGCGAAGAGAAAATGTAGAAAAATCACAAAGAGAAAGTGGCTAAACATTGGAAAAAAAATGAGGAAGTTCAAGTGAGAGAAAAAAGAAATAGTGGAAAAAACAAAATGGGAATCGATGGAAGTCTGTAGGCCGGAGAAGAATCTGGATTATGCAAATCAACGTCCGCGATAAGCTGGGAAGAGACGAGTTAGCGTCGAAAGTAATTTTGTCGAAAGGGAAAGGAAATATGGGTCGCTTAGGGGATTTAATGAGATCCCGACGAGTCCACTTGATCTGTGCTATTAACACAGCTATGTTAAAAATGCCAACACGGTAACGCGAGATCCCGCTCGAGTTATAATACAACTGGGAGAGATAAACGTTCTCCGCTGCCAGAGGAATCGCGAATCCCTGTTTATCTCTTTGCTAGCAAGATTGAAACTTGAAATGCAACTACTACCAAAAGGTGTTTAATTGTATATCCGAATATATTATATATTTACTTGGTGGATTAATTTTCGGATTAAGTATCTCGTTTCTCGTTATTATACCGAAAAGAATCTTGAACGATCAATAACGATCAAATTACCAAACTAAGTGCCACCATCCGTCCAAAAGTGCATGATAAATAATTTCCTCGCGTTTTCCTTTCCAGCCTTCCATTATCGCCGTATCTCCCGCTTCCGCAACTTCTTCTCTCTCGGCGAACTTAATAACCCTCTGTTCTTTAATAAGAGGCTGAGAAATAAATTATGTTCCCGAGACCGGTCTGGGTGTTCCCGTTCTTCCACAAACTTTTCAAAGTTGCGGATGCACGTCTGTCATTATCCAAACGTTGGCGAACAAACTCGAGGATGATTAAACTCGTACTATCAAAAGAAACTCGCCGTTCCTTCTTATCTGCTACAATGACGTTATTGGGAGCTATAAATCGCAAAGCAATGGATCGAACAGAACCTTCGTTACAAAATATAAAACATAGTTAGGTACATATGTACAATAGGTACTAGTATTTCATGTGGTCCTCATAGTTACACCTTTGTAAACTCGTCGATACATCGATTAGTCAAAGATACAACCAGCAGCAGAATCAAGCAACATTATCAAACAAACCGCAGTCAACGAACTACTACTCAACCAAACACGTTTACCTGTGAAACGATCGGATTTTTGACAGATCTCAAATTTCTATAGCACCTCAGATTCATCAACAAATCGTCAAAATTGTCGAACAGGGTTTTGCAAGAGACAAGCTTAACTTCAAAACTCACATTGTACAAACGTGTAAGTAAAGGAAAGCGCTAAGCAACGCGAAACATCTACTGTTGAGTGAAGGTGTGACAGTAGTAAAGCATCGATAGAGCACGACACGACGCGATTTTCAGTGATATAAAACCAGTTTCGTAATCCTGCGTGCATCAGACGTGATTCTCGGAACTGACATTGATTAGAAGAGTCAACGATGATTACTATCATAATGTAGCTCGCGGAATACAGCAACATAAACAGTCAGTTCCAGTAGCAGTCGCTGGTTAAACAAGACGGCAGACGAAGAGAGGTTACGACAGGAAACGAAGAATCGGGAGAACGGAAGGTGCATGGGGAAGCAAGGACGACAGGATGGAATACGTAATCATTCCCTTCAGAACGTACTTGTCTACCGTCGAGCGATTTTCTTCCTTCGCAAATCCGTGACCGGTTTCTGCGCGTGATCAACGACGTGAGGAGGATATCAAACGCGAAGCGTCTTATTCTCCTTCGAAACCACGTAAACAATGTCGAAAGTGTCGATAGATTGCATCCGACGTTACAAACGCCTGCAAAGGTTTAAACGAGCAAGATCTTTAAGAAGCAAACTACCCTTGTCTTCTCTATATTCATGATTTTCCAAGTAAAATGTTACGAGGTTGTCTGAGATGGTTGAAGGTTGAGAGAAGGCAACGATCAGAGCGAACTAGCGCGTATTCATCGTCACGTGCTTTATTTGTCGACGATGTTCCGCGAATTCTGCGGGCCAACGAGCCGAATGTTCCATGATTACGCTCGCGAGACAGTCGCGAAGACGTTACGATTGCAGCCGAGGTAAATTCGGCCTAGGCAGGAATCTGACGAAACGAATGTCGCTAAATTGAATACTACGAGGCTGCGACCTCGTTCCCACTTAACTATGATCTTGCATGATATTGCAACATCCGAGCGTAGAAAGACAAATAACGCCGGATGTACCGAGCGACGTTATTTCACGAAAGCCAGAGCGGATTGCAGACAGGCGAGCGTTTTCTTGAGACGACCGAGCTTGAAACACGAAACGTTATTGACCGAGCATGGAAAAAAGAAAGCTAACAGAAGTAAGATCGTACCGTCGACGAGGATGACACAGTCGGCGAAGAAATGGGGATTCCATGATCTAGATATAGTTTCAAATCTCGATAAATTTCCTTCCACTATTCCGAGGTATTGGAATTTTCTTTTTCATACTATTGATCATTGTAACGGTTTTAGTTCGAAGAAACGAATCCTTTATTCCGGCAAGCGACTGGTCGAAATCATTCTTGAAATTTAGACCTCACCTTCGATTCATTTCTCTTACGAAAAACGTCACATTCTTTTCGTCTACACATATATCATAAATTAATGAGCGTCGAGTATCGATCCACCGTGTCGAAGTTGGAGATCGAAAATCTTTTAATCCAACCGCGTCGTTCCATTAATCGTACTCGCTCCGTTCTATCTCATAAAGGATCCTTCCATTCTGCGGATGTATATTTCATTCGAAAATTACGAACTTAATATTGCTAAAATGACGAGGTTTCAATCGGGTTCTCACGGTGTGCATTCACGCGACGTATCAATCCACGCGACATCCAATCGACGTATGTATGAAGACGCGGTATGAATGAACGAAACATTGGTAAGGCTCGTCTCATATATAATAAGCGGCTGAGCGACGCTTAGTTTTCAAAGCTCTCCTGGGATCTCTGTGGCTAAACTAGTTTCACCTGTAGTTTTACTTGGCCAACTCCCGCCTCGGATTAATCTAAATTAATGTTCGAGCTGGGCCGATCCACCAATCGCCGGACCGCGAGATATTAGGTCCACGTACCGCAAATGGAAAGTTCCTCCGAAAGTTCGTTAATTTTTTAACCGACTGAAACTGTGTGCTTTCCAATCATCCGCGTGTGGCCACAGATGCAGTTATACGGTAGAAAATTGGAATGTTTTGTAAAAAATAGTTTGGTCAAAAATTCGGGTGTATGGTAGAACAGTGAAATTCAAACTGCGCTGATATTATGATATTAAAATATTGTTTGTCCTAACGGTTATACCCTTAGCTTCTACAAAATTTCGCGAAATATATTTTTACACATTTTATTCCACTTTTACCTATTTTATACTAATATTCCTTCTTCATCGTAAAGTGACGTTAAAATCGAAAATTCAG